CGCTCGCGGACGCCGCCACGCCCCGGCCCGCACCTGGCCCAGCTCCGCCCCCGGCGGGCGGGTCCCAGCGGGGGAAGAGGGGCTCGGCGTGGACGGTGGAGTAGAGCCCAGGCCTCGCGGGGCGGTGCCTAGCGAGCCTGGAAAGCGGGCCGGGACGCGGAGGCGGGGCTGAGGGCGGGGCCTGAGCGAGAAACTACGGGAACGCAAGGGAGGGATGGGAGGCGGGGTCGGGGCGGTGGGCGGCTCTTGGGGCGGGGCCAGGGTGGGCGGGGAATTGAGTGGGCGGGGCTCGAGGGCCGGACCGCTGAGGAGGACGGACTGCTGAGCGGATGAGCGCCCACAGCGGAGAGGGGAGAACTAGAAAAGCGATAAAGGAGTGGGGCGGGCAGGCCATGGAGGCAGGACTGGTCTTGGGGGCGGGACCGCCACGTGTGTGAGCCCTGGCAGCGGGCTAGGCCAGGGCAAGGGTGTGGGGCCGGATGAGAAGGCGGGGTTCTGGACCCAGCCAGGAGTTGCAATCTGCGGAAGGCATCAAGCTTTGGGGTCAGGACACCAGTGATCAGTGAGGGCAATGGATGGAGTAAGCACTAAAGTGCTCCCAATTTTACTGTTCCCATGGATAAATGGATGCAACTCGAGACCATACTCGTAAGTGACATAAATCAGACTCGCGAGTGTAAAGATCTCATTGTCACCCTGGTGTGAGGCTGAAAGAGTAGAATCCAAAATGTACAATAGATATTGTGAAATGGGGAGAAACTGTTCAAAAGGAGAAAGAAACGGATGGGGGGAAAGGGGAAAGCTATGAAGGTAGTTATGCTGAGGATTTAATTCACTAAAAAGAGAGGTTTGTGCTCATGCTGTTTTGACAATTAAATGCCCATATCTTGTACTCTGAGTAACTAATTTAAAGATAACAGTTTGTAATGTTTTAACCATCGTTACTCTCAGATTGTTTTGAAATTTGGGTTTTTTTTTTTCCTCTTTAAAATAAAATTTAAAAAAATAAAGTTCTGTTCTGGAGATCCAGTTTTTCTTGTAACCGCAGTACTTGTGCCTGCCCTGACACTCTTAGGTCTGGAAAAACGAACCGTGCTTTAAATTCGTGGAGAGTGCCCAGAAAGTGCTGAGGCCAGGCAGGCCCAATTGAATCCAAGACACTGTGTTGTGAACATTGACATCATAGGCAAGTTAATTTTCAGAACAAATAAAGTTGCCTGGTTGTTAAAAGCTCAGAGGTAGCAGGGCTTTTAGGTCTGTCTTATGGTGTACCACTATTCACATTAAATACATGCCTGGGACACTCTACTATTAAAATTAAATACATGTCTTGTTCTCTAAAAGAACTAGCTCACTCATTATCAAATGTAAGAAAGATCATTTTAGTTGTTCTAAGCAAAGTGCACTGAGATGACCAGTTAAGAATAATGCGATAAAACCCAGCCTGCTGGCACATGCCTATAATCCCGGCACTCTGGCAGACTGAGGCAGGAGAATCGTGAGTTAGAGCCGATCCTGGGCAACTTAGTGACTTAGCAAGAACTTGTCTTAAAATTAATACAGTCCACTGGGGATGTAGCTCAGTGCAAAGGTCCTGGGTTCAATTCCCATAAAAAAAGCAATGACCAAACGTGACATGCTGTCATCTGCAGTAACATAGATGGACCTGGAGAACATTATGTGAAGGGTAAGAAGCTAGGTACAGTAGGATAAGTACCGTGTGTTCTGACTCATATGTAGAAGATAAAAATTTGGTCTCATAGAAATAGGCATGGTCACTGGAGGCTAAGAAGTAAAGGGAAGAGGAGACAGAAGGAGAGACTGGATTATGGGTTATAAACAAGGAGAAGAGAGAATGCAAAGGTGCCCAACAATGTGAAATAATCATGTTTAAGGAGATGTAAGTGCTAAGTACCCTGATCTGATTGTTACATAGTACTATATATATCAAATTATCATGGTGTATACATCAGTATTTATAATTATGTCAATTAAAATGTTTAAAGAATATTATAATAATTCACATGACAAGTTAAAAATAAGTTATAGTAATTCAGAAATGATATCCTCAACCACAGAGACAATCAAGGGAATAATGTGGATGGATTTCAGAGACATGAGGATGGAGATTTTAAATGAAGATGACATGGTGATGGGTTACATATTGGAGATTAGGCCAGAGAGGAACTGAGGCTGGTGCCCAGGCTTCTGCCTAGAGTAACGGAGACATGGAATACCAGGAGGAGAAAATTTTAACAAGTTCAGTCCACACTGCCCAGGAGAAAGCCAAAGGGAGCCTTGGAGTGGACAGGCTATGTGTAAGTCTGATGTCAGAAAAAATAATTGGGGGCTGGGGATTTTGCTCAGCGGGAAAGCGACTGCCTGACCAGTGCAAGGTCGTGAGTTCGATTCCTGGTACCGGACGAAAGACAAAAAAAAACAAAGAAAAAATAATTGGGACTTTGTGGGTCATGCTGAAGTAGATAGGGACCGATGTCATGGGAGTTGGGGAGATTACCAAGGCAGACCAGGACGGTGAAAGGAGAGGCGCATGCTGGAGACTGGATCCTACCCAGCAAGGAGCAATTGGAGTACAGATATCCCTCAGGTAACGACCTCCCTGCCTAATGACTGTTAGGACTTATGACCCATCTTTTTTCATACAGTCCTGTGCATCTCGATGGAGCCTCAGTGTCTTTTTTGGGAACAGTACTGTACCTTATTTATACAGTACTATAATTCTTGCTGATTATCTTGTACAGTACAGTACTATAGTTTTACATTCTGTTATCCATTACAGTACTGCATGTGAGAGTTATGCAAATAAAAGCAAAGTATCAAGCTGGAGTTTCTTTTGACTGTTCCCTTGTTCTGAATATTGTAATGTACATACTATAAGGAATTCCTCATTTAGTGACCAATTCAATTAATGACCTAGTTGCAGGACCAGAACTCTGTCATTTAATGAGTGCTTGTGGCCTGTTGTACTGTAGGCACATTCACTACGCATGTTGTGCAAATAAACATAGCATTTGGGAAAAGACCAATGAGTTCAAAATCTGTCTATATAATGTCTGATCCTGGGCACAGAGAAACTACCTGACATTTTTTGGATATTGAGGAAAAAAATATACGGCTTGCCTGTTTTAATGCAGAAGGATGATTTGGAGCACGGTCTAATGAGATCTGTTGATCACATATAATACAGGCAGAACAGCTATGCCAAAGGGCCAGAAAAGTTTTATCAGTGCCCACCTTTTATTGGGCTCACTTCTAAAGATTATTTGCTTCCAACAGCTCCTTAGATGATAATAAAGCCAATTAATTTGGAGTTAAATAAATTCTTAGATATAAAAAAATTTTTAGAAGTGATGTTACCTTTGAAACTTTTTCTTTTTTCTTTTTTTTTTTTTTTTTTTGGTGCCATGAATTGAAATCAGGACTTTGCACTTGCCAGGCAGGTGCTTATGCCACTAAGCTATATCCCTGACCCTGAAACTTTTTGATATATAGAAATGTCTCATATATGGGTGCACATGTTTTCTCAGGGGTCACATATACACTTCTGAGCCACAGGCAACGTTTGAACAATGAATTATCATTCCCATTGTGTTACATGTTTAATTGTTGTCTTACACTCCTGGCTAGTAAGCTACTTACATGTACTTTATCTTTCTATCCAAAGTATTTACTGCAGAGGCAGATAGAGCTGTGGTTTCATTAACGCCAGTTTCACTGTCAAGGATATTTGGCATTTCCAGTGGTTTTTACAGAGTCAAGCAGGTTCATGGTCCTGTGATATCTTACTAATAATATTTTAGTTTCATTGGTCCCGTGCATTGACCAGCAGAAGCTTCTTCGTTAATCAGCCAAAATTGCATATTCAAAATGCAGCTATGTGATCAACGTAACCTTGAAGAATTCATGGAAGCTGCTAAGATGCTAGGGAAGAGCAAGTGAGGAAATATAGGACTAGATGCTTTATTGATTTACTAAAGATCATATGTGGATTGCATCTGTTTTACAATCATGAGCACTTTCCATATTATCGCTATATCATAAGGTATCCTGGGTTTTGTGAATAATTTTCATCCCTGCATTTTCTGACGTGTGGGATCAACATTGCCTGAACCCAGCTAATGTGATGATGGGTTGGTGGCTGCTGTTTTATTTTAAAGGCTATTGGACAGTATGTGTTCTTAAGAAAAACAAATAATTTTCTTTGAATTATTTTGATACTATGATGCCTAATACAGATGTTCCTCACTTAATGACCTACCTGGTTAACGACTGTTAGGATTTATGACCCATCTTTTTTTGGGGGGTAACAGTTCTGTACCTCTTGTTTATAGAGCCTTAATATCTTTTTTGTAAGTACATCTTATTTATACAGTACTATTATTTATATTGGTTGTACTGTACTATACAGTAGAATACTATAGTTTTATGTTCTGTTATTTATTATAGTACTGCATGTAAGAGTTATGTAAGTAAAAGCAAAGTCATCAAAGTTTCCTTTTATCATTACTTTGCTCTGAATATTTCTCATTTAGTGACCAATTCTTTTAACGACATAGTTGCAGGAACAAAACTCAGTTGTTAAACAAGGATCGTCTGTATTTAGACCAACAGGTTTCAACCATGGTTCTACAGGAGAGTCAACGAGGAGTTTTACAAACTATCTAGTCTTGGCTGGGTGTGGTGGTACATGCCTATAACCCCAGTTCTGGGAAATTGAGGCAGGAGGATCATGAGTTCAAGATCAGCCTGGGCTATAGGAAGAGACCCTGTCTCAAAAAAAAAGAAAAAAAAAAAAATCCAGTCACTAATTCTGTAAAGAAGTAAAGATTGTGTAATTTTTAATCTACTTGAATTATGCCATAAACTTCCACTGGAATAGTATAACCGAAGACACACAGGCAGTATGTACAGTCTACAATATGTGCAGTAACCCAAATCTAAGTGGGTGCTATTAGCATTTAGGAAGGAAGGAGGATCCTGAACACGGGAAGATCCCACACCCACAGCAGGTACCTTACTGTGGAAATCCAAGAACGGCAGCCAGAGCAGAGAGGAACGCTGGAGGAGCCAGCTGGCGGGTGAGGGCAAGAGGACCTGAGAAATGGTGTGACCATCCTAGGGGAGTTTGGGCCTTATAAAGTCTTTGACCTGGCAAATAAAAACTTTCACC